TTTATTGAAACAAATCCACATATAAGTGGATCTGTATAGTTCAAACTCATGTTGTTCAAGGGTCAAATGTCCTCAATTCTGCCATTGTAATGAATGGGCATGACTGTGTTATAATAAAACTTTACACATGAACAGGAGTTGAAATGTAGTTTGCTGATGTCTGTTCTGTATTTTGAAAGTGGTTTGGGTTACACAGTTGTATGCATTTGTCAAAACTTATCCAATAGGCCATGTAAAATTTGTACATTTCACTGTCAGTCAATTTTATCCCAAAGAAAAATAACCACAAATATTGAACTCTAGGCTAATGATAAACATGCAGTTTGCAATGAGGTACTGATATCTGCAACCTACTTTGAAATCATCAAAAATAAGAGATTGATATACAATAACAAATATAACAAACTGTTGGTAACTATAGACCTGCAATTGCTATATGGGGATTAACTACACAATTCTTTCAACTTTTCTACATACTTGAAAGTTTTCATATAAATGCGGTGGGAGGGGGAATTCAGTAAGAAGCCACTGAAGATTTCTGACCCAAAAAAAGGAAAATTAAATTTATTATTCTATAAATATGACTCATGCAGTGCAAAAGATATATGATGGATGGTAAGATAAAGAAAATAGCAAGGAGGCTATTACAATAGTCCATGACATAGTAAGCATCAACATTTAAGGAATAAGTACAAAATGAGCTCAAGAAGGTAAGAAAAGTAGAAAGAGTAGAAAGCTTCATTTCAGGAATAAGGAAGGAGTTTCAAGAAGAAAGTTCAGTGTCAGTGTGACAGAAATGGAGCAAGAGGAGAACTGAAAAGTATCTATTAGATTAAGCAATGGGCAATCTTGATGTAAAAGCAGTGTGGCAAGACTATAAACCAGATAAAGATAAAGAATATTGATAAATTCAAAGGAAACAAGTGAAGATCAAAGGAATTGACCTGAGTCAAGAGAAGGCAGTAAATAGAGAGCAATAAAAAAGACTGCACAACTTCTTTAAAATAGAAAACAAAAGTAAATGACTGCACCTAAAAATCAACATATATTATCCATCCAGTACATAAACTGTTGAGTAAGGCAGTCTTCCACAGGCCTGAGTGTCCCTGCACATTCTTGCTTAGTGTGAGAGTCTACATTTAATCCATTCCCTGTTACTAAGTGTATTCTTGTAATAAGTCACATAAGCAACAAAGCAGGTCAAGGTTACCAGAACGTGTTAACTGTCCTCTCAGGGAGAAGTGAACTCCCATGTTTGCCACAGTGCTTACTGCTTGCTAAAAACTGCTGGACCCTTGGTCCTGAGTTCCTCAGCTGTGATCCACTAAGTGCATCAATCTAGAACCATCACCCTCATGGGACCTGGATGCAAGGAAAACCTACAGAAATATGATGATGTTCATGCAGCTTGCTGTGCTGTGAATTATAATGTCATTTGTTTCCTATGTGGGAGTCTCCTGTTTTCTGCCAGCAATCATGAAACATTACCAGATGAAATTATTATCTTGCAAATATGTAAATTCAAATCCTAAAACTTTTCACAGTTCTTAACAAGGACAACAAAGAACTAGTTGATATTCATATTCTTCAATAAAAGAAGGGACACAAGGTGGTCACCAGCAAAAACAAATATACATAATATTTTATAGTATATGTACCTTGTTATTCATAAAAGTATTTATCATGTTCCAGTCTCTATACCACACCTTTAACATATATTACATCATATATTCTCACAATAATCCTAATAAGATAGGTACTAATATGAGGAAACTGAGGCTTCAATATGATAACTAACCCAAGGGTTCATAAATTATAGACAGCACAACCTAAGTATAAACCCAGATGACTTTAAAACATGGTTTTTTTAAACATTAATAGTCAACCTCCTTCCCGCTGATTTATCAAGGGCAGCTCTAGTTCTCCAGATGCAAGAGTAAAGTATCTAGATGTTTACAGTATGAATACTTCATTATGTTCATAGACAATTAACGCTTTGGAAATTTAATATAATCTTGTATTTTTCTTTAAAATAATCCATCATGAAGGTTTGGGAAGATCTAGGTTAAACAAATATAAACCACTGCCTTTATTGTAAATTCTCTCATGGCTTTAATAAGCAAATGTATATTTTAATATATTAATATGTTATAAATCTTCTAAGATCATCTATGATCATCATTTTGGCATAGTTTGGGAAACTATCACCTAAAGCAACATAGCCAACAAAACATGGATGCCAAATACCTCTGAAATCTTAGTAGTCAGTCCGGTACAGGTACATAATCCTTTAAAATAGAGAACATCAAATTTAGAATGTGGTCTAACATCTCCAAGATAAGTCAACTACTTCATAGTTTGGCAACATTGCTGTTTCCTACCAAACAAAACTGAATTTCCCATAAAACAGTGAAACCGCATTCCATATCTGGCTTTTTCTGAAATAAGAAAGGTTAACAGTACAGAGTTTGTAGCTCTCCACTGTAATCCGCAGCTTAACAAAATCAGACCATTTAAAAATGGAAGGTAAGAAGAGACCACAGAAAAAGCTGCTAAAGTGTGTGTATTGGTTAATGACAGTAAGTCATTCTGATGTCCCTGGGCATCACTGCTAACTCTCCAGTATGGAAAGCTAAATTTTAACTCTATTACTAAGTGATAAATCAGTATCAAATACCATTTCACCTCAAGTGTACTCGCCTGTCTCCTACTCAGTCATCCCTTAACATTCAACAACTGAAACTGTTCATTACCCAAGTTTATTAATCATTTCAGAGTTTAAAATAAAAATTTGAACTAAAAGAATCCATACAACAGTTGTGTTCATCTTATAAGCCAGAGCTACAGACTGGTCTCCAGCTGAATAATCTTCTAGACACCAAATCCACTGATTCTCTGGCATATACCTACATACAGTTACTGGGCAGGCCATTCTGAACAAAGTAAAGAGTTACACTAGGCAGATGAAATTACCATATAATTATAGAGTAACAGGGATAAAATACAAATTTAAACTGTGCCAAGATATCTTTTCAACACTTGGCCTTACCAGGAAAACAAACTGATGTCCTACCTACCTAAAGTGAGTAATATCTTAGGACTAATTTTTGCCCTCTGCTCTGAAGGAATGCCTCCACCCTTTCAAAGTCTACAGGGGACACACCTCCAGTTTGGGAAAAAAAGGGCAATAAAATATGATATTGTCCACTTATTCTGAAAGGACTTTAATATAGAGAAAAAGAAAATATCTTAAAACTGAGAGAGCAAATTTCAGTATTTTGATGTTAAAAATTTTTTTAAATAATAGTAAGCCAATCGGTAACAATAGTAAGTTAACTAGTCACAATTAAAAATTTTTTTAATAATAGTAAGCCAATAGGTAGCAATAGTAAGTTAACTAGTCATAATTACTAAATGACTATATATTTTAAGGCATTGCTACATCAATTAAAAATGTTTTGAGTAGTGACTTGTATACAAGAACATGATTGATTCTGATAAGCAAAACTCCCAGAGAAAGAATTCAAATCAGCTAATGCCATTAAGGGAGACAAATAGGAATAGGGAAAAAAGAAAAGAAATTAGGAAAAAAAGTCTCACTGGTATTAGCATTCAATACTTACCTCTGCATTTATTTTTGCCAAATATTGCAAAATAAGAATGCCTCTTTTAAAAAAATCAACCCACCAAAAGTATATACATTGGCAACTTGAAAAATGCCTTCCATGCTGGCAGCAGTAATACTTTCCAAACTCTTCTAAAAATACAGATATGTTTTTACAGTTTTCAGAATATGGATCATTTGGAGGTTTTACAGGATTTACCAGATGAAATGGAAGCTGAATGAGCTTTTAGAAAGATGCTGTATTACACACATGGGGGCTTCATCATTTAGTAACATTCGTATTTGCCAAAATGCACTTATTAACATAAATTTTTAGTCGCTACTGTCTCAAATGTGCAAATAGATCTGAAAGGTGAAATTTGCACTAACATATCTACATTTGTAAATTTTACAGGCAGTACTATTAATCGCACCATCAGCACTAGTTTTTCTCCTCCCTGTCAGTAAACAGGTTTAACGAAATTTACCATCACAACGTTTATAGAAGAGCATGCTACCTAGCTGCAACAGACTAGTCAAGTATTTAAGTCCTTTTTAAACAGGGTTTACAATAGCAGTCTCCAATACGACCACCAGAACTAATGACAGAGGAAAAAAATGTATTAGAAAAATTGCTACTGATGACAATACTGAGACACTTTTCACTCATTTCAACATACATAAGTTTGTATGGTTAAAGTGGAAAACCATGCATGTAATGAGAAATAAAGTTTCAAACAAAATCAGCTTTTTTTTTTTTCTAGTAAAACTTTGTTTCCTCTCCCGCCAAAGAAAAAAAAGAAAAATGTGGTGAGAGAAAAAGGAACACACTTTAAATGCGAACACAACGGAAAGGGACAAAAACGACAAGATTAACTAGAGCGGAGGGACAAAATCAACACCACGATTATTCTCTAGAGTTGCACAATTTTTAAAACCTCCCTTTTTTTTTAACCAAATGCACATCTCACCCTACATAGTGCTTACATCTCCTTCTCTCACACCCACTCCATTCATTTATGACGGTGATCTCACCACCATTTCTAGTATACAATCCACTGGAATGTCTCAGAAGTGACTGAGTCAGGGAATGAGGAAGTGATAGAGAACGTGAGGAATAAGACAAATATAAGTTTTAAGGAGAAAACGGGGGTCTTACAGCGGGGTATAGGGTGCGAGGGGTGGGAGCTCGGAGGAGACGGGTCGGGAGGGAAGGAGTCAGAGGTAGGCGTCCAGAAGACGTGTAATGGAAGCAGGTGGGCCAGAAAACACAAAAACAAAAATTAGCCAGCGCGTCCCCCTCCGAAAAAACCCGAGAGGGATGCTCGAGGCCACAGCGGGAGGCCGACCGGGGCTTCGGCAGCGCAGAAGGCCGGGGCGGGGGCCAGACACTCACCACCTGGTAGCGGCCAGTCCCCGGCTGGTGATGATCCATCCTGCCCGGCTCGGGATCCGGTTTCCGAGCGGGCGAGTCCCCTAGGCGCTCAGCCCCCTCGACCGCCCCCGTCGACGACGTCGTCGCCGAAGGGCTTCTTCCCCTTCGGTCCGGGCCGCTGCCGTCCCTTGACCGAGGCGATTCACTTCCTGTTGGTGCAGCAGCAGCCGCGGAAACCTCCGCGTCGGCCGCAGCGCGGTGGAGCTCGGGGACACCCTGAGCACTACTGAGCATGCTCGGAACGGCCGCGCATGCTCGCTGGGTCCTCCGGCGTCCCATTAGCGTAGCGAGTCGGGGTCGGGAGGTTGGCTGGGTGGGAGGAAATGGAAAAGTAAAGCAAGTCCGGGGAACTGCCTAGGTTGTCAGCAAGTTCAGCAGTGGGCGGTGGCAAAGGAGCGAGGAAAAAACAAAATCACTGTCCTTGATTGGTCTTTTCTGGAAGGCGGATTTCTAGCAGGCAAAGGCCGGGTACACCGTCACACTCCGCGGAGACAGATGTCTAGGAGGAAGGGGACGCGTTCCAAGAACACCTGAGGGCAGGTCATCCGTTTGCCCAACACTTATTACTCACCCAGCGTAGGACAGCGCAGGAAGACGCATGTCTAGGACGTTGCTAAATTGCTCATGCAAGATCATTAGTGAGATAAAGGATATCTTTTGCTTGTTTTTTCGTCTACCTCTCTGTAGTGAGATTTAAGAATACCACAGGGACTCTGCAGCCATACTCTTATTTCCCCAGAAAAAGAGGCTTATAGAGCTCTAGGTTACTGGAAGGATACAAAAAAATAATGAAATAAAATAGTACTATTTTGTGGTCATACATCAATAATTCCTCAGGGCTTAACAGTAAAGAATCACTCTGTGTGCTAGCTACCTTGTGAGACTCTCAATGCCTGGTTAACGACACATGAACTGTTAGTACCTCCCACAGGGCACAAAGCATGTTTCTCTAGTAGAAGAGTATGATGGAGCAGTGTTAAGTGCATTTTAATTAAAAAGACCTGCTTTCTATGCCCTGAAAACTACGATATCATCTGGCCCAGCTATGTTTTACTTCCCTTCTGAATCGCCAAAGGAGATCCCTGTGCTGAAGAAAGCCACTGGATGAGCATTATCAGCTAGTTAAAATAGCAAAAACACAACATTGAGAGATCATCAACTAAAAAATTTAGGCCTTCCTAAAAATTTTAGTTAAAGCATTGATCAGTTCTTCCCACTTTTGCCACCTTGACACATCTAGTGGTAGAGAGTATTAATAGGATAACAGAATAAAAGGCAATGTCATACTTAATTTCTTTAAAGTTGCTTTTCTTTTTATCTAATTTCATGTATCTTAGACTCTGACACAATTAACATATGACATTTTACTGTATTACTGTGTAAAAGCTCACCCTCACAACATCACCAAAATGGTATCACCCTTTAATGATCAAAACAGCAGCCGGGGTTAGCAAAGTGAAAGTAGATTCCCTCATTACTTTTGATATATACAGTTAATTTAGAACTTCATTTTATATGTGCTTGCATTTTCATTAATCGTTTATATGTCCAGTTGTTTTTCAGGTAGACAGCTGCTCAGAGCAGAGGCCATTTTACACCTAGCTCACCCAGAACAGTACTGAGAACATAATGGCGAGAACCAAAGACCTGACCAAAACCAGACATCCTGAATCCTGTAAGGTAGCAGACTGTTTCATTTTCACCCTTCTCCCAAGTTTTGTGAACATTTTGCTGATCTAGAGAGCAACTGACAAAATTCAACACAAAAGCATTTTTTTCGATAAGGAGGAGGAAGAGAATGAATGAATGAAAGTAGAACAACAGCTAACAGGGACTGAGCCCTGCCCAAGCCAGGGACTGCACATGCTGCATAATTTCACCCTCACAGCAACTATGGAGGGATGCTGTGAAGTCCCAGGGACCCATTTGCCTGAGACATACTTCCCACTGGAATCCCCATTGGCAATTCCCAGGGACAAAGGCATTCCCTCCAGAGGGAACTGATTTCTTAATCATCTTCCATATTCTCTTACTTGTAACTAGGTACACTAAACTGCTTCGATATGCATCAGGATTCTTTGCTGAGATTCCCACCGATTTAAATGGCATTTAACATGCTACTGCCTGCAGATGGCTATCTACATAGGCCTAAGGCATGGGTAGGAAAATGCTCTAAATTTTCCTTCCTTCTTCAGTGATTCTTCAGCTTTTGCCACTTCCTCTCTCTATGGATGCACAAACAACAGAACTACTCAAGTAGCTAATGATGGCTAGTGTGAACATAGATCCTAACAGCTAATCACATTTGAAACATGTATGATTTTGTATATTTATCTAGAGAATGATTAAAAAGAGGCAATATTCCCTATCTGAAGATTTCTATTTCTACTTAATAAAAAGTCACTAGGTATTATCTTCTGTACATTTAATTATAAGCAGATTTTAGAGAATAAACTACCATTTGTTTTAGTCAATGAAAATAAGCATTATTATTACTCCAAACTTTCATCTCAGTTACCATGTATGTAGTTCTTCTAAACAGCTTGTAGTCTTGGACCTCAATTTAGCTTCACATACTGTTCCTTATTTAACTAGTTCTGAGATTCCTGTCATCTGTTCAGCTCTAACATTTAAGGGGAAATTTTCTAAAGTGAGCAATTTGACACTCAGATATCTACTTCCTTTTCCTCTCTTTATTCTCATCCAGTATATTGGAAGAATCTTAAAAACAGCTTTTTTTTCAATCAGTCAGAGTTTAACCAACAAAAGATAACTAAGAGAAGATATGTATTTAGAGATTTATTAAAAAGAATTGACTTACGCTGTAGTAAGAACTGGCTTAGGCAAGTCCCAAATCCATAGCACAGGCCACTGGAACTCTCAAAAAGTTCTAGAAGTTTTATTTATTCTAGGATACAACAAGTACCAGGTATGAAGGGAACTCCCTTTTTTTCATTATCTTGGTTTATTTTGTCTCTGTTAGACCATTAATTTTTTTCCTGTTTGAATTATAAAGGCCAGGAGATAGGTGTGAATTTCTTCTTAGTTCTGGAAAGAACTGTCTTCTTCCTCAGGAATGCTTCAATTGGGCACTCAAAGCCTATCAACAGATTGAGTCAGGCCCACCCAGATCAGAGAGGACAACGTCCTTTACTTAAAGGCAACTCATTTTATCTATAAGATGCATTCACAGCAACACTTAGATTAGTGTTTGCTTGAATAATTGAAACTATAGCCTAACCAAGCTGACGTGGAAAACTATTACATGTTTATTAAATTCTTCAAATTCAAACTGTCTCTGTAGAATAAAGTATCAAGAGAGAGAGGAACAGAAAAGAAAAAGGAAGAACCAGAGAGCTTAGAGATTAAAATACATTTCCATATTAAGTACTTCCTATTGGATTTGTTTTATATAGGTACTGTTTTATATGGAGGTACCACCAGGCAACAATTAGAAAATATTTGAGTTCTGATAAGCTGCATCTCAGTCCTAACTACATTTTTATTTAGCACTTTCAGTTTTCCTTGGTTTAGTCATGAGCAACAAATGTGAGCAAATCAACAGCCATTTTGCTTAGGGATTATATATTTTAAATTGGGCTAAATCGTAAGTTATTAAAATGGTCTTTGCTTTACCTTAACTAAGGAAGGCTGCTCTTTGACCATACTAAACATGCTTTACCTTGACTAAGGAAGGCTGTTCTTTGGCCATTCGTGTGTTGTAAATAGTCTCTTTTTTTATCAGAAAGCCTGATAATCACTTTGATCATAGAAGAGCAGGGCTGGCACTGAGTATATTGCCTATTATGATGGGTTTCTCTTGACTAATGCATGATCATTGTGTAAAAGGACAAACACTACATGTGCATGTAGGTGTGGGTGTGTATATAAAATACTAGGAGAGAAAAATGTTTCCTACATGTCAAAGGTTTTCTTAAAGTGTTAAAGATCATTTGCTCTCTTTCTTCCATAACAGGAACCAGGACTCATTGGTTAAATAGTTTGATCTCAGTATGCTATTTCACCATTATCAACAGTACAACATTGACAATAAAGTCACCATATAATAAAGTTGCCTGATTTTAGTGCTGAGGATAAAGGGCATTTATTATCTGAAGGGACAGAAGATGACAGTAATCAGAGGGAGTGTCTTTCCAGAACGAAGAAGAAATTCACACCTATTTCCTGGACTTTACAATTGAAAAAAAAGGGAGTTCCCTTCATATATGGTACTTGTATCCTAGAATAAAATATTTATACTGTATCCCACTTCACCAGTCAATAATGTGTACAGTTCCCATGAAATGTCTATCAAATCTCCTTAAAAAGAATGATCATTGAGAAATCTAGCATGATTTCCCCAATAAAGGCAAACATAACAAGCACAAATCTTCTTTATCCAGTGTCTGAGGCTGTTTGGAGTGCTATAACAAAACACTGTAGTTTGGGTTGCTTATAAACAGCACAAATTTATTTCTCATAGGTCTAGAGTCTGGAAGTCCAAAATCAGGGTGCCAGCAAGGTTGGGTTCTAGTGAGAGCTCCCTTCCTGGTTTCAGACTGCCAACCTCTCATTGTATATTCACATGGCAGAAGGGCCCAGGAGGGATCTCTCTAGATACTTCTTTATAAGGGCACTAATCCCACTCATGAGGGCTCTACTCTAGCCTAATCACCTCCTAAAAACCCCACCTCCTATACCATCAACTTGGATATTAGATTTCTAACATATGGATTTTGTGGGGGGGGGACACAAACATTCAGACCACAGCATCCAGATACTGACTTCTACAAACAAAAGCATAAATATTACAAAAATACACACATATACACAAATATAGTATATAAAAAAATCAAAAAAAAAATTTTATTTCAATGGGACAGATGATTTTGCTAACTATAGGCCCTGAAATTTCCTTAGAACTCAATTGTCTGGAAAAAAGAGAGATGTTTATTGTCATGGAGCCAAAAAACTTTAGCATTTGAGGGGACCTTTCCAGACTACCCAGCCCAACACCTACATTTTTAACATATGGAAACTGAGACTCAGAGAGGTAAGTGCAGCCTTAGAGTGATACCCGTGAAACTACCACTCCAGTTCCAGCTTGGTTCAAACATGATAATGCATAAAACAATCCAAAATACTTGTGGGTAAAATTGTAATATTTCCAGAATATCTCTCCTGGCTTTAGTCTATCCTCAGGGGTGGAGAGAAATGTGGCTTTAGTTCATCTGCATATCAATAGGTGACCATATCAATAGAGGATCCTCAGGGGTGGAGAAAAGTTCATGTCTATATAAATTATCTGGGCAACTGAGGGCTTATCTGAACCTGAGAGGTTAAGGGGAGGGCTGGTTTGCTTTGCCAGAGCAGGAAAGAGAGATGGCTCCAGACCGCAGTTTGTAAGCAATAAACGGGTTTTAAACT